CTTGGAAACCCATTTTTCTATTTTTAGTAACTGTGACCTTGAAACCCGGGAGTCCAAAATGCAAATACAAGCGCGGTCTTCAATGATAAGGGTTGCTAAAACCGCAATTTTTGATTACAATATCTCATTCCTTTAAAATTGTTATTGTCGGAAACCCCCCTTTTTCTATTCTAAGTAACGGTGACCCTTGACCTTGGCCCCAGGGGGTCCAGACACAATAACCAAGCGCACGGTCTTCATGTAAAGCTTGCTATACACCAGTTTAATTACAATATCTCATTCCTAAACTTTTAGTTATTTTCCGGAAAATTTTTTCTATTTTTAGTAATGGTGACCTTGACCTTGGCCCAGGGGGTCCAGATGCAATACCAAACTGGGGTTTTCCATAATAAGCTTGCTATATACCAAGTTTGATTTACAATATCTGCATTTCTTAACTTTAGTTATTGTCCGGAAACCATTTTTCTATTTTTTAGTTAACGGTGACCCTTTGACCTTTTGGCCCAAGGGGGTCCGATGCCAATACCAACAGGGTCTTCATATATAAGCTTGCTGTACAACCAAAGTTTTGATATTACAATATTTCATTCCTAACTTTATTATTGTCCGGGAAACCATATTCTCTATTTTTTAGTACGTGACCTTGACCTTGGCCCCAGTGGTCCAGATGGCCAATACCCAACCAGGGTGTCTTCATATAAGCTTGCTATACACAAAAGTTTGAATGTACATATCTCATTTCCTCATATTAGTTATTGTCCGGAACCATTTTTCTCTTTTTAGTAAAGTGACCTTGACCTTGGCCCCAGGGGGTCCAAATGCAATACCAACCGGGGTTTCCACATAAGGTTTTGCTATGATACCAAGTTTGATTACAATACCTCACTCCAAATCCTAGTTATTCGTCTGGAAAAACCAAATGATTGGACCGGGACCGACGGACGGACGGACCAACCCGACCGAACAAGCCTGACTCCTAAATATTACCCCCCCTAACCTTCGTTTGTGGGGTATAATAATTAATAATGTTCTGACAATTTTATTCTTAAAAATTTTTGACAAGATGTCTTTAGTATGTTAAAATCATAGATTTCTGTTATCCCTTAACCTTTAATACCAATGCTTACCCGAACTTAAATGGACATGTCCATATTTAAGATGGATAAACCCGTCATCAAACACAATTAAAATTTTGAAAAATATGTGTCACTGAATTGCAAAGAACTGCCCAAGATAGCTTATCAACTTGGACAGCCTACACACCAAGATGTCTGATCAAATGGTCTGCACTGGGGTAACATGGGGTAGAATAAGTTATGCTGCAAGCAGATTATGGGTAAAGTAAAATACAAATCTTCACAGAGTAAGACAAGAATATACTGGGAGCATGATTAAAATTTTTAAATAAGAGGGCTGTTAAAAAAGTCGCAAGACTAAGAGTCTTGATTTTTATTCAATTTTTGATTTGAATATTTTTTTATATGGTACAGCGATCCAAAAAATGTTTCTTCAATTTAAGGCATAAAATAATTGAAATTATTTGTGCTTAAAGGGGTTCCCTGTGTTATTGAATAAACCATGGTTAACATGCACTAGACCCCGGCGCAGCAAATAAAAAAGTTATTTGAAGCTTAGTTGTACTTCTATTTTATTATAATTTATTTTCTTTTTTCCCCGCCATTTATTCCAACAATACAATTATTTATTTTAAGTGGACATTCATGCCCAAAATTTGACGTCATTCAGACATGAAATGGCCCTAATCATTCAAGTTTTTGAACAGCAGTGGGCATAACATTTCAAATTTCGTAGAAATTTTGACGTTAGTTAAAAAACTGAAAAGTGTGCGATCGTGTAAATAAAACTTACCAACAAATTGCGATACTTCTAAGATACATATGAAAACATAAAATTAAAAACACAGTACAATTATCGGCTATCAGGATACTCATTTCTCAAGCCTTGGGCAAACAATTATCAATAACTTGCACAAATGAGTATCACAAACAGGGAAAGGATGGAGAATTGAATACGGGGAAATTTGACGGGCACGTTAAACATCAAATAAACAAGAGGGCCCCCTGATGGCCCCTGAGGTCGCCTCACCCTGTATACTAGGCCCCCCAACCCCATCCCCAAACGTTGCAGGGCCAATTTTAACCAAGAGCTTTTATTTGCACAAACTTGGTAACACCACCGATCAAGCAAGATGTTTCATGCTAAACATCTAAGCTCTAGCTCATTGGGCTTTTTAAAAGAGATTTTTTAAAAAGTTTTACTATACACATATAGTTAAAAACAATGACACCCCTGGGGCCGGGCCAGTTTTGACCCCAGGGCTTTTATTTGAACAAAAACTTTGTAGACACTTACTAGAAGATGTTTCATGCTTAATATCTAAAACTCTAGCTATTTGGGTTTTTTCAAAGAAGATTTTAAGTTTTTGCTATACACAAATAAAGAAAATCAATGACCCCTGGGGCGGGGCCAATTTTGATCCTAGGTCTTTTATTTGAACAAACTTTGTAGAAACTCAGTAAAAGATGTTTCATGCTTAATATCTTAACTCTAGCTATTTGGGTTTTTTCAAAGAAGATTTTTTAAGTTTTTGCTATACACATATAAGGAAAATCAATGACCCCCTGGGGCGGTGCCAATTTTGACCCTAGGGCTTTTATTTGAACAAACTTGGTAGACACCTATTAGAACATGTTTGATGCTAAATATCTTAGCCATAGCTCTTTGAGTTCTTTAAAAGAAGATTTTTTAAGTTTTTACTAAATGCGTAATTATAGGGAAAATCAATGACCCCCGGGGCGGGGCCAATTTTGACCCCGGGCTTTTATTTGAACAAACTTGGTAGACACCTATTAGAACATGTTTGATGCTAAATATCTTAGCCAAAGCTCTTTGAGTTCTTTAAAAGAAGATTTTTTATGTTTTTTACTATATGCATATAGGAAAAATCAATGACCCCCCGTGCGGGGCCAATTTTGACCCCAGGGCTTATATTTGAACAAACTTGGTAGACACTTATAAGAACATGTTTCATGCTAAATATCTTAGCTCTAACTCTTTTGGTTCTTTAAAAGAAGATTTTTTAAGTTTTTACTATATGCATATAGGGAAAATCAATGACCCCTGGGGCGGGGCCAATTTTGACCCCAGGGCTTTTATTTGAACAAACTTGGTAGACACCTATTAGAACATGTTTGATGCTCAATATCTTAGCCATAGCTCTTTGAGTTCTTTAAAAAGAAGATTTTTTTTAAGTTTTTTACTATATGCATATAGGGAAATCAATGACCCCCCGGGGCGGGCCAATTTTGACCCCAGGGCTTTTATTTGAACAAACTTGGTAGACACCCATTAGAACATGTTTCATGCTAAATATCTTAGCTCTAGCTCTTTGAGTTCTTTAAAAGAAGATTTTTTAAAGTTTTTTACTATATGGCATATAGGGAAAATCAATGACCCCCCGGGGCGGGGCCAATTTTGGACCCTAGGGCTTTTATTTGAACAAACTTGGTAGAACAATCATTAGAACATGTTTCATGCTAAATATCTTAGCTCTAGCTCTTTGGGTTCTTTAAAAGAAGATTTTTTAAGTTTTACTATATGCATATAGGGAAATCAATGACCCCCTGGGGTGGGGCCAAATTTTGACCCAGGGCTTTTATTTGAACAAACTTGGTAGACACTCACTAGAAGATGTTTTCATGCCAAATATCTAAGCTCTAGCTCTTTGGGTTTTTTAAAAAGAAGATATTTAAAGTTTTTTCTTTCGGTTGCCATGGCAACCAGAGTTCTGCATGGAATTAAATTCTTTGAACAATTTTTAAAGGTGACCACCAAAGGAACATTCCTGTGAAGTTTGGATGAAATTGGCTTAAGTGGTTTTATGAGGAGATGTCATTTAAAGTAAAAGTTTACGGACGGACGCCGGAACGGACGGACGCCGGACGAAAAGCGATCACAAAAGCTCACCCTGTCACTTTGTGGGGAAAAGGTAGCCCAAAAAGCCCTTTCAAAATGATCAAGGGAAACATCCAAATTTCCGGCCCCGTTTTGAAAGTCTGCATGGCATCTAAATTTATTCCGTTCTGCCCAATGGAAATTTTGTTTTCAAACAAAATTTATTTCATTTTAATAAAATATAGTTTTATTTAAAAAAAACGTTAATATTGCCTTAAAAGGTTAATTAATATTTTTCCCCCCCTTTTTCTTTTAAAAAAGATCACGCCTTTTGTAGGGAAAATATACTTTTCTGTTTTCAGTTGATAAAAAATTTGTTTTTTTAAATTAAAATAATCATATTGTTTTTTAGAACCCTACAATTAAAATGGAAAATTAATTTTACAATTTTCCTTTTTCATTAAATGAAAAAGTTCAAGCCTTTTTTTAAAACCCATATTGATTTCCCATAAGAATACCCAGGGATACCGAGAAAAAAGTGGCGAGTTGGCCGGATATCGGGCTTTTTTTTTTTGGAGAGTGGAACAAGAATGTGATAGTTTTCTTTCTCCTTTAATCTCCACATATGAGGTCTGGTCAAAGTTACATGATTCAGACACCTAGAACACTAGGGAGAATTCTGTCGGAAGGAATGACGCTTATTACATTTTGTTTTTATTTTACGATGTCATAAACGTCATTTATTTTGCTGTTAGCGTGTGCCCGGTCGCGTACCCCTTGTCATTTAAAATTTTCACAGACTCATTATTTTCAAACATATTTAATTGATTTTTTCACTGTATATAGAAGATATGTTCCGATATTATTATCTTGTAAAATTGTGCATGTAAATTAAAAAATGTGAACAGTAGAACTGCAGTCCTATTACTTTTTGAACAACCCTCGTATATTACAAAGAAACTTTTAGGGAAAAAATTGCTTTGTCTTGATTTTTTTCGGTAAGAACCCATATTAATATGTTAAAAATTTTCATATATTGTCTTTTCCAGTAATGGATTATGGATTATGGATTAAAAAAGGTACACAAAAAGTGAACATACTCTAAGTTGACCTATAGGTTTACCAGATGAGGTGAATGCATGAATGATCGGCTTCACATTTCCTGACAAATTTGGGTTGTTACTGTCATCTCTCATCAAAGCTGAAATATATAAATACTGTATATACTATACCCTTTACCTACCTCTGAAAAAATGCTTAAATACCTGCTCAGTACATCGCAAGAAAGCAAAAGCTTATTGCAATGTATAATGATCTTAAGCCTTAATTCGCAATTTTCTAATCTAGTCCTAATTTTTACATCAATCTGTTTACTAAACAGTTTCACAAGAAAAACCTTAACAGAAATCACAATTTTAGGAAAATTAAACACAATTTGCTCTTAAAATGTTTACCTAAAGGTCCACCATATGGAGCTGGAGCAACAATGAACTTTGCAAGATCTATCTGGTCTCCCCACTCCAGAGAATACAACTCCATTTTTCTGAAAATAAAGAGATAACTTATAGAATCATAACTAGCAGGTTAACTCAGGAAATATAGTCTGACCTCATAATTACCTACTTTAAGTTTTCAAGATAATAAATTCAAAGTACAAAGTAATTAAAACTCCTTTTGTGTTTAAACTTACATACTAGTTCTAGAAGTTACTGATTATTTACATTATATCATATTATACATGTACATGTATTTGCATATGGCATTTCATAACAATTTCATGCCATATTTCCAATCCCCAAGTGACCCAGTTAGGGAGGTTTGGCTTTAAATAAAAGGTAGAGGATATATAGAGGGGAATTTTCTTACTAGTGTGCATAAATCAGTCATAACCTTATAAAATATGCACTTAATCATATCCCTTTCACAATTTTTATGTTATCAAATTGAACATGTTTTCATCAACTTATATAATTCCATAATAATAAATGAGATCTAAAACAAATAAACTTTAAAGTGACATTATGCCTATAAAAGTGTAAATGGTGGGTGTACAGGTGAATGTAATAATAAGTTTAGATCTTTCAATTTTATAGTCATGTCTTACCATATAATAATGAATACCCCAGATGACTCACAAAGAATTCTAAAAATATCATAGGGAATCTATTGTTAATGTTCCACTGATAAATATAGTGGGGTAGTCTTTTTATATTTTAGGAATCCTAAAACATTTTTCATTATCAATTATTGGTAAATGACCATGATCATAGTTAATCTTTTTCAGTATATCCCTGTTTCTAACATTATCAGGATATGCTTTAAACTGATGAAATTGGCGCTTGGGGATCTGAAAATGAATCAACTTTGTAGTGCTGATATACTTGTGTAAATATGTAATATTCAAATATGACAAAGTACAATGTAAATGATTTTTTTCTTTCTTGAATATCAGTAAATTCAGAAAAATAAGTTAAGATGTATGCATAGTACCAATGAGAGCCATTTATCTACAAAGTTTCATGTTGATATCTCTTATAGTTTTAGAGTTATGTCCCGGAACAAGTTCAAGGTATGAAAATGAACAAAGGGCAATTACTCTAAAAATTATGCAAGGCAGAGTTATGGTTCTTGAGATCTATCTACCTTCAAAGTTTCATGTTTATATCTCTTATAGGTTCAGAGTTATGTCCCAAACAAAGTTCAAAGTGTAAAATTAAACAATGGGCAATTACTCCAAAATTAGGCAAAACAGAGTTCTGGTTCTTTTGCACTGCAATTCTACCAAATGAGATCTATCTACCTACAAAGTTTCATGTTGATATCTCTAATAAGTTTAAAGCTATGTCCCGGACAAAGTTCAAAGTATAAAAATAAATAAAGCGCACTACAAATGTATCTCCAAAATTAGGCAAGGTAGAGTTACAGTTATTGTGCATGCACATCTACCCAATGAGATCTATCTACATACAGAGTTTCATGTTGATACCTGTTGTTGTTCAAAGAGTTATGTTTCGGACAAGAAAAGTGAACGGACGGATGGACGGACAAAGTGGCGACTATATGCTCTATGTAAGTTTCATTGAAATTGCATTAGTGGTACAAGAGGAGTAGTTCGGATAATCTTTAAAATAAAAAATCATTAAAGCCCCATTACTCTGACAAAAATCATTGAACCTGAAAATGCTGCTGATATGCATAACTAGACACTGATCAATCCTGTAAAGTTTGGATGAAATTGCACCAGTAGCAGACTTGGGGATGATTACATTGATCAGTTATTGATTAAATTACAATGACTTTAAGATTTTATTGTAATTGATTATTATTGATTACTCAGACTTGCCTCTGTAGTCAATTTAATTACAATTACTTTTAGAGAGTAAATGATTGATAATTGATTACATTCAATGTAAAGTAGTATCTTTACTTAAGACCACCCCTGATTTAAGACCACCCCCTTGATAAGACTATTTTTACAAGGTTCTTATAAATGTCAATGGTTACATGATCCAGATTTAAGAACAAACGCTTTTCCACTTTTAAGACCATCTGATTCAGTCCAAATTCTTTGCTTTATTCTTAATTTGACCCAACTATTGAGACCACTGATATAAAAGTCAACACCTATCTAGATCTTAAATTTATTTTTATGATCTGCTTGAATGCTTTGCATAACACTTAATTTCACAAAATGTGAAAAACTGTTATTATTGGGTTAATCTATGAAATAAGGTGAGAAGGTAAATTTTAGAGTGGTATAACTGAAAGTATTCAATGTCAATCAAATTGTAATCATAATTACTGACTGAACTTAGCTGTAAATGATTAATTACAATTAAATTAATCAATTTTGGGCAAGGTAATCAATTACATGATGATTACAGAGTAATCATATAATCGATTAAAAAATCAATGATTACAATTAATGATCACCCCAGGTCTGAACTGTAGTTTATGAGTAGTCCGGACAAGTTTGGTGATGGACGGACAGACATTCAGACGACCGAGAAGTGACTACTACTCCGTAGAGATAATTTTATCCAAATAATTTACATATCCGATTTTTACACCACTTATTAGAAAAACTAATAATGAATCTGCAAATGTCATTGATACTTACTCGTAATATACATGGCCGAGAGGTAGCCAATTAGCTGATGCCATTCTTGCCTCTTATACAATGTATCAAACGCTTTAATGGTGAAAGAAAGATGTATTTACTTCCTCCCCATTCAAGTAGATGTAATTCGGTGACACTTCATTAGACTAAAAGGAATACAAATAATTTGTACGTTTGTTGCCATTTATATGGCTACGTTAAATATCAGGACTACTTTAAGTATAAATTAAGGGTGCGTTTTACAAAGAATATAAAGTCTAAAACAGATTTGTGCATATTTTAAAAGACAGAAGGTTTAAAGATATAACAGTCAGTAATATATAATATCAAACACTTTAGGCCCTATAAAAATTTGAACTATTTGAGCAAAAAATGTGATTTTTTAAACAAACAAGCCATAATAGTTCATTTTATTCAGACCAAGAGGAATTTTTAGCTCAAGGGGATGATGAAGTAGCCGTTAAACGGCTACATTTATATAGCAAAAAAAAACTGAAATAAAGTATATTATATCTATAGTCATTAATACAGGAGGCCAATAAGAAATCAGGCCTTGGTCACTTGTTTACACAAATTGATATTGATTTTTATCAAAATCATCATAATCACAGAGCTATATCTACATATAAGTCTCTGTCATAATGAATATATTTAAATAAATAATAATGCAATTGTTTAATTACTATAGTTTAAGATACATGCTATCTCACAACAGAATTTAAGGGGGAAAAACATGTATGAGCCTTAATTATTATTATTTGTATGTTATTATTTTAAAGATCCTGTAATAAGATCCTTTGTTACTAAATATAGAATTATAAAGTGCTCCTGTATAATTTAGAAATAGAAGCGATATCTAAATATACCTGTCAATGATAAAATTTGTAAATGTTGTCTATTAACCTTTTACCACTTCTTCTTCTTCCGGGTAATGTGCTGGGCCCCTCTGGAGCATCGTCCCACATGAGCATATCGTGAAAAAATGGCCGTTTTCATTGAAAAGCCTCCTGTTACAAGTTCAAACAGCTATGAAACTATAAAAAAAAATGCTTCAATACTGATGAAACTTAGCACAAATGTTGACTGGACCTTAGCCACTGTAACAGCTAGCATGCTCAATCGTAAATTTCCTGTTACCATGGCAACGGGGAGACGTCTCAAAATTGCGAAATATCACTATTTTGCATTGTTTTTCCATCAAAACTGATTTCAAAGTGCTGCAACTTCTCAATGAATTGAGATAGAGTAAAAGATTTTTCAGCGTCTGTTACTAGTTACCCTAAGATCGACCTGAGGCCATTTTTAGCCTGTCACATGTCCAAAATTTTCTTGGGGTGTTATCTGTGATATGCAGGCTTCATAACCTCTGATCCTCTTTAAAAATTCCATTTTATTTAGTTCCGCCCATTGCACGGGGTTGGAACCCCATATGTATCTCAAAAATGAGCATCGGTAAAAATTATATGTGAATTTCCGCTGCACCAGATGTGAAGCATAACACCAGATGTGACTGTAAAAATAGGTCAAATGCAATTTTGAGCAGCGATTCCTCCGGTTGTGGCCAAATCTCAATAAATGTTTGAATCAGGATTTGTCTGAATGTTAAGCATCGGCCTGTAGTGGGATTTCGGAAAATCTCTGTTTTTGAGTCCGTTTAGTGACATTTTCTTCATTCACATTGCATGTTTTGGACACACCAGAACCCACGACGGAAAGAATATCTCGATGGAGACTGCGTAGAAATCCAAAACAAAAATGGGTAATATAGAGGAGAGTCAGGAGGGTAGAATCACATTTCGATTTTCTTAAAAAAAGGATTGAATTTTATATAAATGTTTAAAAAGATGAAAACTTACCCTGCGATTTACCTATTTTTACAGTCACATTTGGTGTTATGCTTCACATCTGGGGCAGCGGAAATTCACATATAATTTTTACAGATGCTCATTTTTGAGATACATATGGGGTTCCACCCCCGTGCATTGTTTTCTCGTTTAGGGCACACACATTTTTTACTTGGGGACCATATGTCGCTTTTCATGGAATGACATTTACGTGTCACATTGAAGGTTTCATGATAACAACCATATGAATACATCTGCGAATGATTCAAAATTCAAAATTGTACCATTTAATTTTGAAATAAAAAAGATAAATACAGAATCCCTAAAGAAAGCCCAACACGACAAAATTGAAAATGTTGCAGGCTCGGAATGTTGAATTCTGCTTAAGCCGGTGCAATGGGTCGTGGACGGTAGTTTGCACTTAACAGTACCGTCCATGAACAGGCTCAATCAAACCGAGCCTGCAACATTTTCAATTATCCCGTGATGGGCTTTCTTTAGAGGTTCTTATTTTCTCTATTTCATTGGTCGATATTTTACGCACCTGTTGTTATTTGATTCATTTTACCCACGGTTGATTACATGTTATTTTACATGTTTATCAACCGTGGGTATCCGACGATGCATCTGGTTGAACTTAATTATGTAATGGATCATTTGGCTTATTGCAGTTAAGATAGTTATATGCTTTGTTTCTCATTATCTCCTTTTTTCACTGTTGTCATTTTATATGCTTTAGGTTTGGTTATTAAAACAAAATCTTTAGATAATTGTGTTTTGCTAATCATAATAAAGCTTTAATATGTTATGTGATTATATGTCTGTAAAGGCCCGTGTTTGGAAATAAAATTTAGTCTATTCTATTCATTATGTGCATGTGTCACAGGGTTTTAGTAGTATTTAGTGATGTGCATGTGCGAGATCAGGGAAATAAACTATATAGAGTATCACGTGACAACACCTGCTTTGGACTGATAAGTTTTAGTAGGGTGGCTATGTTGATAGTGTGGAGTATTTGTAGTACTCAGATGTAATCTACATATAAGTAAAGCGATAATTAGATTTAAAGGGTCTTTGACATTTTGACCCAATAGTGGCATGGCATTTAAAACTCGACACAGGGAAATAATTTATATAGAGTACCAATAAAGAGACATTATTCATTCAGTCACAGCATTGAATACATTTAGAATTTTTTCTCTGTCTATATAAAGAGCTTATATTTGAGCAACCTTTTAAATAGAGATATTGGTTTAAAATAATTTTAAAGCAGGATTTTGTGACATGGCATGCAAAACTCGTAAAGATGCAATTGAAGTTATTGATCATCAACTGAAGTAAACAAAGGTCATAAAACAAAGGTCATTGTGACATTGACCTTTAGGCCAGAAATGAGCGTGGCTGGTAGGATTCGTCAAAATAGAAAAAATAAGAATCCCTAAAGAAAGCCCAACACGGCACAATTGAAAATATTGCAGGCTCGGTTTGATTGAGCCTGTTCATGGGCGGTACTGTAAAGTGCAAACTAGTGAAACTACCGTCCACGCCCCCTAGCACCGGCTTAAGCAGAATTCAACATTTAACATGAAATGGTACAATTTTGAATTTAGAAACATCCGCAGATGTGTTCATATGGCGGTTATCAAACTTTGAACTTTTTACTTGAAAGCTGATTTAGCAAACAAAATAAATCATCAACAAGAAGCACTTCCTTCATGACCAAGCTTTGAGAATTGAGTACCGCTCAAGCCGGTGCTAGGGGCGTGAGGGATGTTGCACGTATTCAGTATCCCTCATGTACAGACTCAATCAAACCGAGCCTGCAATTCTCTTGTAATTTTGTTGTGATTAATGCTTCCGAGGGATCACTTTGTTTTCAGATTTTTATACTTCACAACAGCAGGTATCAAGTGCTGTATGGCAGCTGTAAAAAGTTGCCCCGTACCTCACTTCAGTGTTGTTATATTTTTTGGTCCTTCGGGATCATTGATGCCAGCACTATTGAGTGTTGAGAATTGAGTACCGCTCAAGCCGGTGCTAGGGGGCGTGAGGGATGTTGCACTTATTCAGAATCCCTCGTGTACAGACTCAATCAAACCGAGTCTGCAATTCTCTTGTAATTTTGTTGTGATTAATGCTTCCGAGAGATCACTTTGTTTCCAGACTTTTAACATCAGTTCCAAGCTCAAAATACCTTGACATTGACTTGTCCGTATACCTAAACTACAACACACACACAGACATCTCAAGAATTACATCAAATGCAAGCAAACCCCTAGGATTCATAAAACGGAATATCAATACAAAAAATGAAAAGTAAATCAAATAGCTAGCTTATAAATACCTTTAAAGACCCCAGCTAGAATATGTTTGGAGCCCCTGCACACAGTCAAACATCCGAAAAAATGGAGATGGTACAAAGACAAGCGACACGCTGGGTAAAACACGACTACTCCGCTCGATTTGTAACAGTTTCGGCCATGCCGAAAAACTTGGCTTGCGTTTTCACGAGCATCGCGGATTAGACTTTACAATTATTATGTTGTGTTTTTTTTAAATTTATCCATTTGCCTTCCCACCTTAAGTAAAACGGACGTTCCATTCCGGATACCAAACTAGAGACCTAGTATATAAAACTTGCTTTTGGCTGACATAAACCACTTCGTTGTCATTATACCCTATTTGCAGCACTAATAAGTGTGCATGTGTAAATGCGGTATTTTATCTTTAAAGTCACAAAAACTTATATTTTCTCACGATAATAAATCCTTTTTATCATACGATTCGTAAACGACAACATTTCGTTATTATATATTCCAAACCATACCTTCAAAAATGCTTTTTTTGTTAAAGTTATAGGGTATTTAAGTTTGAGCGTCATCAAAATTTTAGTAATGTCAGCCGTTCGCCTCTTTTTAATGATAACATGGACAGCCATTCATCAGTAAGAATGAATGAATAACGCTGAAATCCGTTCAAAATATTTATTAATTCATGGTACTTTCTAATACACCTCATACTTACGTAATCCAACTACTCTTTTGTAATTTAAAATATAAATTAATTCATGGTACTTTCTAATAGACCTCATGCTTACGTAATCCAACTACTTTTCAATAATTTCTAAATTTTCCACCATAATAAATGATTTATTTTACAGCATATAAATTAATTTAAAGTATAATTATTATTTAGTTGGTTGGTTGGTTGGTAGGGTAGGGTAGGGTAGGGGTTGGGATAGGGGTTGGGTGATGTGGGGTGGGTATGCGTTGGGTTGGGTTGGGTTGGTTGGTTGGGTTGGTTGGTTGGTTGGTTGGTTGGTTGGTTGGTTGGTTGGTTGGTTGGTTGGTTGGTTGGTTGGTTGGTTGGTTGGTTGGATGGATGGATGGATGGATGGATGGATGGATGGATGGATGGATGGATGGTGTCTTGGAATACTGAAAATGTCAACCCACAATAGTAGCATTTATACGTATCCTTGCTGTATCTATTTCTCCCTTTTAAATTCTGAAAAAGTCAAAAACACAATGTGTCATAATTGCAGTAATTAATTTTATCATATCATTGAATGATATAAAATGGATGGATTGGTGGATTCATGCAACCATACGTATGCAGTCAGCCCTGTAAACACACGCACGCGTGCACGTAAAAATTACACTCTCATAAAGACAATTACATGAACGCACAGACAAAACACATTAATACACACAAAACACTCTATTAAAGACACACATATACATGCACAGACAAATACACATGCATACACACACACGCACGCACCAACACGCGTACGCACACACGCGCACGCACGCACGCACACACACATATAAGTTCAAACACGCATGCACACGCGCATACACACAAAACACATACATGCACGCATGTATGCAGTATGCATGGATGCTGGGGGTTTTTGTTTTTGATGGGGGGGGCTTTTGTCCTACGTGTAAATTTCAATGGGGGGCATTTTGTCCACCTTGTCATTTTTAGGTGGGGTGACTTTCGTCCGCGGGGACTTTTGTCCTACAGTCGCATGTGATATCCCAATAATTGATCAATTATCACCTGCATATAATGTCTAACTCGACGCGGTTATTAATAATATCATAAAAAATCTAAATTAATAAACCGCATATTAATATACGTGTATGTTGATAATGATATTAAAGTGACATTATGTTCATTTTTTCATTGTCAAATTGAATTTAATTAACTTTATATTTCAATAAACTAGTCGTTGTAATGGTGAATGACCAACCCATCATATTTGAAAATGTGTAGGATAAAAAATAAATCTACCTAAATATATAAAGACTGCCCCACTCTTTTTATAAATTGAAAGTTACAGATACATTCAGACAGATAATTACACACACAAAAGCAAAGAGACATCAATATTTAAATATTATTATTTCATTAAAGCGCGGTCCGCCTCGTCTCGAATCACGGTCCGCCCTGTCCCAAAATACGGTCCGCCTTGGTACGGTCCGCCCTGTCCGTAATTTCTAAGGAAAATACAGGTTACATCAGACTACCATTAGTTCTCGTTTCCCGTCCCCTCCACTGTATTACACTTGGAACCATCTCTCAACGAACATTGTCACCCTGGCAGACCAATTCAATCAGGCAGTACAGTATTAGTTGACTTGTGTTTTTACTTTTAAATATTTCTTTCACTCTTACTAATACAAAACATTTAAAAAATGATTTTAAGTTTTCAAATGTTTCTCACTATCCTGATAATGTTCATTCTCAGGTTTTTACTTTCTCTCACACCTTTCACTGACACATCCGACGTGTACAGTACCATCCCTATAAGTATAACACTCGGGAGAGGGGTTGGCAGTTATCAGAAATGGATAAATGGATAGATGGATAGCAGGTAGAACTTATAACTTGAGGTATCACATCCACGTGCTATATTCAATGCATTTTACCAAGAAGGTAAAAAAGTCTCACGCCATTGCCAACGTCAATGCCGCCAGCGACTATTCTTATTTTTTACCTATCTAGTAAAGGCCTCTGATGTCTCTTATGAAAAGCGCATGCGCACAAGCGGAACATTTGACTGGAAAAACACTGCGAACATCGCATCGTATGGTATTTTGTTTAAAATGAAAAAGAAATCGAAATAATATATCTATCAAATGATTGCAATTAAAATGTATTAATTAAGTGCAAGCTTTGCACATGTTGAAGACAGCTTGACAATCACGAATCAAAACTTTACGGCCTGAATTTTCACTATTCGTACCCATTAATTTCGTACCGATTTTGAATTTGATTAGAATATGTGATGCGTCATAATTGTCTCTTTGAAGAAATAATTATCTTTGAATTTGTCATATTTCTTAAATTTGAAATGAATACATATTGTAAATATCATTGCCAATAATCCCATAAATTACATATTATACATTCATTTTTATACCTATGTATATAAAGTATTACTCACCTAAACAAAGATGCTACACCAGACTTCCCGAAAGTTGAAAAAAACTGTCAGACATTCGGTCTGACAAACCATAAAAATCTGTCGGACCGAAACGAAATCTGTCGGACCAAATAAAATTGATCAAAGAATAACTTGTGTTTGTATTTCTAAGACACTTTTTTTAATTTTTTTCGCCGTAAAAATCGGCACATTCCTTACAAGTTACAGCGCATTTTCATCTCCTCCCTATCATACACCAACGATTCACTGTCTTGCTTCTATTTTTCATTAAATTTTGTCTCAGGTCTTTTCTTTTTATCCTTTTACTGCTGTTCTGCGCGTTCCTCTGACGTAGTTTTTTTATTTTTCCAAGGTTTGGCTCCTTTAGCGACGCCATTTTGTATACATGCGGCTTGGATAAAAGCCGGACAGTCGGACCGATCCGGAATAAAAACTCGTCGGACCTGATCAAAATTTATCGGACATGTCCGTCGGACCGACGTATTTCGGGAAGTCTGTACACAATAAAATCAGCCGCAGGCAAACTGCAATAGTCGCACACTTCGGATGATTGCAAGGATATCTTTCTTCTCAGTGAATGACAACAGGTTGAATTTCAGCAGGAAGAACGGATAAGGAAGTGACGTCACTGGGGAGGGACTGGTTCCCTGCATTAATGCAGGCGGACTGGTATTCGGATAAGAAAACCTACGAATACTACATATGTCCTGTTGTTGTTGTTTTCTATTTCAGAAGGCCACATTGGAAATAAGATATATATGATTGTTATTGTATGTTCTTAATGTGTAACCTTCTTTAAATAAAGATATTATTATTATTATTAAATTATAAATATGACCAGTGATGACGTTGCTTTGAGATATTTTCAGAGATCGGGAAAGTCCCGCGACCTGCGACATAGTCGCATTAAAATGATTTTAGTCACATTGATAAGCCTGCAGATACGACATTAGGGTGCATGAATAAACAATGAGGAGACAAGTAATTTCTAAAATGCAAATTTGACCTGCAAGAAATTCAGCGAAAGCATGAAAGCTTTACTGTTTGTCAATCAATAGGGTAGTAGTTGTCAATCAATAGGGTAGTAGTTATATAAAGAAAAAAACACTGCATTGATAACTACATTGTTTGAGAGTTTTTGTTAATGATTGAGCATGATATTGAAAGAAAATTTTATAAACTTTTGAATAAAGCATGAAAGGTCTTGACAATAGACATAAACTATAATAATATAATAAGCCCATAACATCTGATATATTGGACTAAGGAAATAATTGCAAGACAGTAGATATATTCAAAATCATAGTCCAATATATTTAATGTAATCGGCTTGTTATAGTTTATGATGGTCAAGTTTGACGTCTAATAGATATTGCTGATAAATGCATAGCAACATTAACAATTTAAAAAATGTTTATTGCTAACCTTTCAAGCTTTAATCAAAATTTTATCAAATAATGCTCAATCATTAATAAAAAATCTCAAACAGTGTTATTGCCAATTTAATATAAGATACGTTTTGCCTATCCACAAAACTGGTTAAGTAAATTGCTCTACAGATTGATTCCAAATTTTTTAACCGAAAAATATATTGATACATGCTGACAGTGTAATGTGATTATGTGTGCATAGGCAAATATTTCTTTCAAAAATATTTTGTAACGTTTAAAACTTTTGACTCATTTAAACACTTGCATTCAGTTAGCCAATCAAATTTAGGGCACTGGGACAGTTTGACGGTCATTTGTTTATCGGCTCACTGTTTAAGGATTTAATTATAAAAAAAGGATTTAAACATGATTTTTCAAATTTGACAGTTTGACTATTTTATGCAAAGGTATTTCTATTTTACTTTTGTTCATGAAGAGCTCAAAATTAATTTATATGCTGAATTACGTGTTTTATCGTTTCGCAAGCAAATCTTATGCTATGGTTTATGAGCATAAATTTTAAATATGACGTTCAGCTTTGCCAAGAAGTAAAATGACTCAAAACAATGTCATATTTGGACTTTTCGAAATCCGAGCTAAAAACTTTTTTTGGTACGTTCTGTACATTCCAGATTTGGTTCACCTATAACTAACTTAAGAAAGAAAGACTCAGTGTCTATTCTAGGACGCGCGATTGCGCGATTCACGCTAGTATTTCACAGATCGCGCACAATTCAAAATCATGTGCGTGAAAATCGCGCATCTATAAAAAAAGTTAATAAAATCGTAAAACTTTCATCCCGCATTATATTTGGTTGTTTTGTTTACATTTACATCGGAAACCGAAGGGAGTTAACTGTAAGCTAATTATAGTAATTTAGTACCGTATGGTACTGGTTACGAGAGTTGACGGAAATTAACAGAATGTTCCGTACCAACCGGAACTAGTGTGCTCGGTCTGACAGTTGGGCGCCATTTTAGTGTAGTAAATAATCAAGAAAAACGAGGCAATTCCTAGCTTGGCTACGATCTAGATGTGAAAGATAGGTCGATTGTTTGTATTGTCAATCCCTTTATAATCAATCGCGGCAGTTCTGTAATAATCTGTTTTCGTTTAAAAATTAAGGGGGGACAACTTCTGCTGCCTTAAATAAATAACGCCTCAGTGTAAACTTAATGCAGACGATTTAACATTGGCAGTTTATTTTGGCACCCCTTGATTTTGAAAATCGCCCCCTTTTTTGAAATAGAGTGGGGAAAATCACCCCTATTTTTCAATTCCTAGAATAAACACTGAAGACTTAGTCACTACATACTGAACCACTAGCCGAAAGAATTAAAAACAAGAGAAGGGTTTAAATGTTTATTAATTTAATCCAATATTGTTTAAAAAAATTAGATACACACATTTTGAATTTCAGATTTATAAAGATGGACCAAACAGATCAGTGTTTCATTTGTAAAGACAATATTAGAGCAAAGCAACAAAAACTACAATGTACAGGTTGTTTTGTGAGCATTCACAGGACATGTACAAGTAAGGTTGACTATTTAAAGCATTGTGTTTATAATAACTTTATCATTTAATGATCATAGGAATGCTTATTTGATAAAAATACATTTATGTATCATTTTATATCTGCCTGATATTTGTATACAAGGCGCTGTGTCTATAGGTAATTCATTTTTATGAATCAAACGAAGTGTTAGCTATGAGGTGCAGTTTTCTTTTTTGATTTTACTGTAAACATTATCTGAAAAAAAGAAGGAAAAAACAAACATACGAACATGTAAATGTTAAAAAAAAGTAAATTGATATATCCTGAGAGGCGTCCGTATCGCGAGTGGTTAAGGTCATGACTTCAAAACCACTTCCCCCTAACTGCTATGGTTCGAATCCCGGCAGGACTTTATCTTCATGTGAGGAAGCTATCCAGCTAGCTTACGGAACGTCGGTGCTTCTACTCAGGTGCCCGTTCGTGCCTGAAATAATGCACAGAAGGGCACCTGAGGTCTTCCTCCACCAGTAAATCTGGAATGTCGCGATATGACCTATACTGTGTCGGTATGACGTAAAACCCAATCAAAACAAACAAACTCGTATCCTGATCAAATATTTTTTATATTCATGAGCATGTTAGAATGGAGATGATTATTATGTCAATTCATATTGGGTTTTTTTATTAAACCTTAATAATGCTATATATATATCCACATACTGCCAGTTTTCAATCACAACCACTTTTCATCATCCCTAGAATTTTTTTATTTTTGACCTTATTTGTCATGTAACCAAACTGTAAGCACATCTTGCATTCACCTTGACTACATTTATCGGCAGCAATGTCAATTATGGCGATAAAAAAGAAAATGTTAGCATTTTTGAGTTCAAAATATGTGAAATGTGTGTTTTCCACTAATCCTTTATTTTAGCCAGTTACAAAATCGCAATAATTTCTAAAAATAATTGATTTTACAGACTCAGTTTTTGTCAGGTCTGCTGAAATGGATATTAAGCTTGGACAACTGTTTCAATATCTTGTGAAGTCATAATATATACTGCACTTCAAAAGCTATAATTTTAATATGTACATATTTTACCATACAATTCTTAATTGGAAGGTAATACATCAGTAAAGCAACAGTCACTTAAACAAGGAAAAACATTATCTCTGATAACTTTTCAGTAAGCAGTCACTAGAATGGGGTCATATAGACCCTAAGATCCTAAAAATTTGACAAGATCATGCTTTTTCTGTTATGCAAATTGAAATGTACATCCATACCCCAATTGTGACAGCTTTACCACTGCAAATAGATATCAAGATTAAAAAATGGCATTATAATTAGGTTAAAATTGTTTATTACCATTTATCATGCAACTGCAATGGTAACTGCCTGATAACACTTGCCTGATAATTATTTTTGATATCACGTCAGTAACCTGATATCAAAAATTAGCCCCGCCCATTTTAACGGACTTTTTTCAATTGCTTATATTCTCATTTTCATCAGCATGTGAATTCTACAATGTAATCTCATACCCTTACAAATCTTTAATCAATATGCGAAATTTATTTATTTATATTTCGATTTTCAATTACGAATAAATTAGATAGCGAATAGTTTGAAGTGACGTTCATAATTTATATTGCAAATGACATCATCGATGTTCACGTCATACTATACATGTAATCATAACAAAACAGGGTAGACAATTTTCTTTGAGAACTTGTAAATGTTTACTTTATTTCGCCGGATTATTATTTAAAAATAAGTGAACAAATTGGTTTCGTTTAAAAAATAAGACGCATGTTTGTGTAGCTTTTGTGTTTGATTGCCGATTTGACTTTTCTTTTGATTGAAATTATCGTGAAATTTTTGAATTTTTGACAATTCAAGACAAAAATTGCAGTAAAGTTTAGTTATGTGATTTCTAAGCGGATTTTTGGATCGTGTTTAAATTAAGGTAAGAATGTTATCGTATTAGACCTACATTCTGTTGTATCTTTTATCCGAGTCGAAAGAAAAAAATGGCCGCCAATTACCAAAGTTTCAGGGCGGAGGAATTTGTTTTCAAGAATTATTTTCTTTGAACAAAAATCCCCCTTTTTAACGAAAATTCGCTATTTAAAAGTAGATTATTTTGTTATTTTGACAGTTATTATGTGTTACATGATAAATAGAAAAACATGCTACTGTCTTTTGATATCAATTTTATCAGGCTCGGCTGATATGGGCAGAAAGGGCTCGGCAAGCCTCGCCCTTTCTAGCCCATATCAACCTCGCCTGATAAAATTGATATCAAAAGACAGTAGCATGTTATTCTCTATTTATCTGAAGTTAAGTTTGTCAAAATTTCTCCATAATACATAACTGATTATATTTTAACATTGTATGACAATTTTTATGTGGTACAGTTTATATTTTGTTAACTGATTGAAAAGTGGTTGTGAAATTTTGAAGAACAGGAAAATGGGTCAGTAATGATTTGTCCTCGATTCATAATAATAATTCAGGTAAAATTTTAAAAAGTTGGTGCATTTATTAGCTAAACTGATAATATTCGCAGAATTGAAAGAGAATTTTTTTTAATATAATTTCACTGTCAGTTATTGTAGGAAAATCTGTTAGCTGATCGGAAAGAGGCAGTACGGGGATATATCTGAAATGGACTTGTCCATCTTTCATTCGGACAAACCATCATTCTTAGTGAAATATCATAGTAAGAATTGCCTGAATAGCAAATACTGTGCAGACCATGATCAAACATCACAGATGTGCTGGCTTACTGATCTTTGTCTGCACTAGTGGCATGGGTATAATCCAGTATAATCCAGTGCTCTTAGAAGACTATTTCTTGTTAATTTATCGTATTGTTCTGAATGGTTTCATTGTTGGACCCTTGAATCTGCAAACATAGCAATATTTTATAGCAACATGCTCAAATTCCAAACATTTTCTTTGATCTGATTCCTTTTTGCAGTAATACAGTGTATAAGCATTTTTTATGTTAATTGTTTTGCTGATTTTTTTCCAGAAATGACTCAGGCAAAGTACAGGGAATATGTTAAAGGTAAGTTAGTTACCAGTTTACCAATAATATTTCATTAAACTCTGTCTACATTGTGTGCTATCAATTAAGAAGCTCCACTTTTGTCTATATTTTTTTTATTTGATGTGGGTTGTTGACCAATAACTTATGTGCAGAATTTCAGGTTGTAGGCTTTATCTGTTTTCTGTTGTTCAAGAATAATCAATTTAATTTAAATTGTGAAAAATGATCACAATATGAAAGCATAAAATTTGTAATGTGTTGACACTTTTTACTCAATTTTCGTTTAGAATCCCACACACATAAACTGATTTTCCATTTTAATCTGTGTATATTCTTCCATTTTATGTTAGTGTCCCAGTTGATCTACATGTACATGTATGCAAAAAATACTAATTGTAGTTCTTTAGGCTTTTGATGTTTTAGAATAAATCAGTAAAATAAATTACATTTAGTACAAAAAATCAAAATTTGTCATCTAATGACACTTATACAGTGTTAATTGTTTTATTTTTCTCTTTGGGATTCATTGTGTTAAATCTTTAGCCATGTTGAAATCCAAATTTTGGATCAGACAAGATCCCCCTTACCTAAAAAACTATAGATCTAACTTGTATTCATTATGTTTACTATTTCAGATAATCAAGTTAATAGGATAAAATGTGATATCTGTGATGCAAGTGGTAAAAGTATGTATATATTGTATATATTGTATTTATTATACTCTCTTTCAAAGAAATGGGGATATATTAGTTTGCAAATGGTGTATGTCAGTCGATAGACCACTTTCATTTGCATTTCAATAACATAGAACTATTTGACCCACTGCCTTCAAACTGCATATTAGGATCATTGCTCTCATTGAGTTGAAAGACACCTA